ACAGAGAGAGAGAGAGAGAGAGAGAGAGAGAGAGAGAGAGAGACTCTCTAGGCAAGGAATACATTCTACTACTATCTAGGATAGCATTTTCTAACGCTGTAAAGATATAAATTCAACTGTGTGTCATTGCAAACATTTTCCATAATTCATGACAAGTCTTGCTTACTTGTCTTCTCCGAAGGCGGTTTTCTCACGTTTCATGTAAAATGAGTACCGAATTATTGATTCTGAGTCATTATCGTTCAAGTGTCCACTTTGCTACGTGCTTTGCCAGTGGGGTGACAACACAGGAGTGGAAAGAATATGATTGCTTGCCTTTACCTCCCTGTGTGTTTGCTGACAGCTTTAAAAATTAATCGCCTTGACAACGACACAGACAGGTTTCAGTTGTGTTATTTTCGAGCTTCTTGCCATTGCACGCAGAAGTTGCAAGTTCGATTCCCGTGTGGGGAATTTATGTTATCGAGTATATCCGTCTGTCAGCTGGGATTATATAGTCCCACGTAGCGTTGGCTGACCCTTACAGGCACGGTATCTCCATCTTTCTGTTGAGATACATGTACTGTGTCCCACTCAACCCGGGCTGGCCTAAACAAGCAGGGTAGAAATGATGAATTAGGATTTCTATTATGTACCTTTCACGACGGTGGAATTTTTGGATATATGTGGAGTTGTTGGTATCATCATAAAACTTGTTCATTTGTCTTCATTTTGATGGAAAGATCCCCGTCTGATTTGAAACCAAGTCGAGATAAAAAATTGTTGGTTTCTTCCATTTTGGCAAGCTACACTTAATTACACAATGATGAAGCCGTAAAACAACAGCAGTAATTAAAATTATCTTTGTTTAGAACCCCCGTTGTGCATATCGGGTATAGATAATGCTGCTATTAATTATTTTTAGAAGTATTCGTAAATATAAAAGCGTAGTGGTATTTTGGAAGGAGCTGGGCAAGAGCCAATGTGTTTAGAAAATGGTTTCAAGTTGAATGTCTAAATGGGCGTGCGAACTTTGTATGACTATTGACATTAGTGATGATGGTGATGCTGATGATGATGATGCTGATGATGATGATGATGATGTTGATGAAGAAGAAGAAAGACCAAACGTAACTTTCGACACCTTTTCTCTTTTTTTTCAGATCCCTGCGTTGACATCAACCTTCTAGCAACTGTAGCAACTCTCCACATTTGTCATATCCACGCCTACTGTTCCGAGTTCCTCTTTCTGTCTATTTGTCCGAGTCTTCAACCAGATTAATGGCACAGCTGACTGGGACAAGAACTTTCCTCTCGCTCACCCCCCCTGACCTGTCGACATGCACCAAGGAGTGAGTATTGGGCAACCTAGTTTCATTTTATTTTATTTATGATCGTATTTTAAAAAAGTAATACCATTATTCAAATCGTTTGATACATATATTGACCAAACCCCCTGCGTCTGTGGTGTGGTGGACAAGCTTTTTGTCCTTGTCTGCAAAAGACGAGAATTGCAAACTTAGTTGTATTACCGTGGAGTGTACGGTAAATGCGGTTTTTAAAAACCATTACTTACGGTAAATATCCACTGTCTGTCTGTCTGTCTGTCTGTCTGTCTGTCTGTCTGTCTGTCTGTCTGTCTG